AATCTTTACCACCATACTGGCGTCCCTGGGCCGCCCTACGTCTGTGGAATCCTGCTCTACACCCTGATTATGTTTTGTTCCATCAAGTGACCATTGTTCTACATCATGGGGTCAGGGCTGGGCCTCATGACTCAGGAGATATGGCCAGATGGAGAAACAGGCCAGGAACTGGACACCAGGGTTCTTATGAGGCAGATAAGTAGATTTCCTGCACCAGTGGCTGGTGGGAGAGGGGGTCATGTTGTGGGAACTTGAGGCAGATGCTGAAGGATGAGAAGATCGGCCGTGCTTTCGGCAGAGTAGACCGCGTCTCAGCTTCAGCGCTGCCTGTGCTTATGGAGACCTGGTTATTTGAGACATGGGAGGTCAGGCTTTCCTGTGCATGGTGGGGTGTCGAGCACTGGCCCTGGCGCCAGACCACTAGGTGCTAGTAGGAACACCCACCACCACTGTAGTTTAGATAGCTCAAAACATCTCCGGGCACTACAAAAGTCAGGGTGGGGACACAAAACTGCCCTGGTCTTGGTACTGAAAAAGCATGGGATAAAACTGGACTCTGAACATGGAGAACAATGAGGGCTGATGAGAAGCCAAGGACAATGGCACTGGGTTTTGATCCTATTGCATGAACTGGCTTTGTGGGAACCTAGCCTGTTTGGATGCTCACCTTCCTAGACCTGGATGGAGCGGGGAGGACCTTGGACTTTCCACAGGGCAGGGACCCTGACTGCTCTTTGGACTGGAGAGGGAGCGGGGAGGAGTGGGGAGAGGGGGGTCACCTCTTCCATGGAGATTAAGCCCAGGGCCATCTCTTCCATGAAGGTTAAACCCAGGGCCATCTCTTCCATGGAGGTAACAGCCCAGGGCCATCTCTTCCATGGAGGTTAAACCCAGGGCCATCTCTTCCATGGAGGTTAAACCCAGGGCCATCTCTTCCATGGAGGTTAAACCCAGGGCCATCTCTTCCATGGAGATTAAGCCCAGGGCCATCTCTTCCATGGAGGTTAAACCCAGGGCCATCTCTTCCATGGAGGTTAAACCCAGGGCCATCTCTTCCATGGAGGTTAAGCCCAGGGTCATCTCTTCCATGGAGATTAAGCCCAGGGCCATCTCTTCCATGGAGGTTAAACCCAGGGCCATCTCTTCCATGGAGGTTAAGCCCAGGGTCATCTCTTCCATGGAGATTAAGCCCAGGGCCATCTCTTTCACAGGCACGTGTGGGGAAGAGTCAGGTCCCTTTATCTCTTTCCCAGGACTTTAGGAACACAAGACAAGGCTTCTCCCCTCATTTCCTCCCTCAGGAGAAACCAGACCTAAGAGCCCATGGCAGACCTAGAGGACATCCCAGCTGGGCAAAGAGGTGAAGGAGAGAAAGGGAGAATAAGTCTCCCATGGGGACCCACTGAACTGAACCAGTACAGGGTCTGGGGAGGGAACCAGTCATTCTCAGTGAAGACCCCATGGGGGACCTGCACTAGGGGTGATATCACGGGCAGCCTGGCCACTAGAAGCAGCATCTGCCAATCAGTCCTGGCCATGCTGGGTCAGGGTGGTATGAGAGCTCCAGGCTCTAATCTCAAACATCACCACCTCTAGTATTTACGGCTCCACGTCCTTTCCTGGACACTGGGTAGTCCTGAAAGATCCTGGAAGATGCCCAGCTCAGTGTTGCCAATGGCGAGAAATCAATAATTTTGAGCTCAAACAACTGGTGTCAGTTGCTTAAATGTGTCTCTCCCCCTCCCCAGGTTTAAGAAGCACACTGACAGAGGGGCTTTCAATGAGGAAGGCTGGTGTCTTCTAAGTTATAAGGAATTTGTACAGCTACATCTGATAGGGCCACAGAGCCACAGAGATGACAACAGAGACAGAAAATGTAGACCAGGGACTAGAGAAGGAGTGAGTACTACTCTTGCAGAGGGCTTGAGTTGGGTTTCCAGCACCCATGTTGGAAAGGCTTATTATCACTGTAACTCCAGATACAATGGAATCTGAACTCAACAAGAACTGCATCTCTCTCTCTCTCTCTCTCTCTCTCTCTCTCTCTCTCTCTCGTGAACATATAGATAAAAATTTATGAAAATATGTGGCATATACCTGTGACCCCAGAATTTAGAAGCTGAAAGGAGGAGGCTCAAGAGTTCAAGGTCATCCTCAACCACATAGCAAGTTCTAGGCCAGTCTGGGATACATGTGACCCTGTCTGTCTCAGTGAGTCAGTGCTCGATTGCTGTGAAGAGACACCATGGCCATGACAACTCTTATAAAGGAAAACGTTTAATTGGGGCTGGCTTACAGTTCAGAGGTTTAGTCCATTATCATCATGGCAGGAAGCATGGTACTGGAGAAGGAGCTGAGAGTTCTACATCCAGATCAACAGGCAGCAGGAAGAGAGAGTGACACTGAGCCTGATTGATCTTCTGAAACCTCAAACCCCACCCTCTGTGATGTACTTCCTCCAACAAGGCCACACCTACTCCAACATGGCCATCCCTCCGCTATAACACTCCCTATGAGTCTATAGGAGTCATTTTCATTCAAACCATCACACTGTCTCAAAATCCCACAAAAGTATAGATTAATAGCTGTGATGGGTATAATATGTACAGCACAATTACAGCTTTAGTCCAGTTGTGTATTCACATGAAAGTGAAAAAATGCAAAATATGTTAAGTGTTACCAGTTTTCCCTCTTATGTTAGTTTCTTTTTTTTTTTTTTGCTTTTTATTCTAAAGTGCTTTTCCTTCACAAAAGACATTCATTGCTTTTTTAAAAAGTCTGGAAAAGGACACTTTGGGCAGCTCCTCAGCATCCACAGTACTCTGTCTGCCACTTTCTCTGAGCTGTTTTCGTCAATGGATTCAAAATAGCAAAGCAGAGTTGAACGGTGTCTCTGTCAAATGGTCAGTCTATAATCTATCTCTCATCTATCTATCTCTCATCTATCTATCTCTCATCTATCTATCATCTCTCATCTATCTATCTATCATCTATTTATCTTACATCTACCAATTATCTTTTATATCTATCTCCCGTCTACCTTTCTATCATATCTATCATCTATTTATCTTATGTTTACCATTTTATATATTATCTATCTTCTATCATCTATCTACATCTACCTTTCTATCATCTATCTATCATCTATTTATCTATCTTATGTCTACCATATATCTTTTATATATCATCTATCATCTACCTACCATCTACTTTTCTATCAAATCTATCTATCTATCTATCTATCCATCCATCTATGTATCTATCTATGTATCTATATATCTATCATCTATCTATCTATTATCTATCTATCTATCCATCTATGTATCTATCTATGTATCTATCTATCTATCATCTATCTATCTATCTATCTATCTATCTATCTATTATCTATCTATCTATCCATCTATGTATCTATCTATGTATCTATCTATCTATCTATCATCTATCTATCATCTATCTATCTATCTATCTATCTATTATCTATCTATCTATCTATCTATCTATCATCTATCTATCATCTATCTATCTATCTATCTATCTATCTATCTATCTATCTATCTATCTATCATCTATCTATCTATCTATCTATCATCTATCTATCTATCTATCTATCTATCTATCTATTATCCATCTATCTATCTATCTATCAATCTATCTATCTATCATCTATCTATCTATCTATCTATCATCTATCTATCTATTATCTATCTATCTTCTATCTATCTATCTATCTATCTATCTATCTATCCATCTATCATCTATCTATCTATCTATCTATCTATCTATCTATCTATCTCTGTCATCCACCCATCTAGTTTTGATTTGAATATACATGGTCCATACAGGCTTATATATTTGGATACTTGGTACTCAGCTGATGTCAATATTTTCTAAAGCCACAGAGCCTTTCAGACATGTGGCCCAACTTGTAGAAGTAGGTATCTGGGGCTGGGCCCAGAAGATGAATATCTACTTCTGGTTCTGGCCTGAACCCACCGTTCAGGTCTGGCCTGATCCACCAAGATGTGTGGAGTCTCCACCATATGTACCCACTGTCATGAGCATCACATTGCCCTGCTCACCATGAAAGTCTGAAACCACGGGCCAGAATAAACCTCTCCACCCTTCATGTTTCTCGGTGTTTGTCAACAATATAAGAAAAGTAACTAAAACATACAACATGAGACTAGAAAGGGGACTGTTTGGGTAGAGAAAGGGGACTAGTAGCTAACAAAATACAGACAGAAGAAGGTAACAGGGATGAGGAAGGTCAAAGTCCATGATACACTTGGAAGAAAATATAACAAAACTTCTCATGGTGTAAATGATATGTCCTAATTTTTCTTTTCTTTTCTTTTCTTTCTTTTTTTTTTTTTTTTGGTTTTTCGAGACAGGGTTTCTCTGTGGTTTTGAAGCCTGTCCTGGAACTAGCTCTTGTAGACCAGGCTGGTCTCGAACTCACAGAGATCCGCCTGCCTCTGCCTCCCAAGTGATGGGATTAAAGGCGTGCGCCACTACCGCCCGGCTGATATGTGCTAATTTTTAAACAAAAATTAAATCTAGAAAACTAACCTAGGGACTGGAGAGATGGCTTGGTGGTTAAGAGCACTGGCTACTCTTGCAGAGGACTTGGGTTCAATTCCTAGCACCCCTGGGCAGCTCACAACCCTCTGTAACTCCAGTTCCAGGAGATCTGATGACCTGTGCAAGCACAAGGCATGTGAGTGGCGCACAGACAGACAAGCAGGCAGAACAGCCACACACAAACAATCAAAATAAAGTCAAGCTTTGGCTTCCTGGGCACCAGTGGTTGTCAGAACCTGGGAATCGGTGGACAAGGAGTGCAGGGCACGGGCAGTAGAACTCCTGTACGATGGAGGAATGGCTCTGAAGTCCTGTGCACACAGACCTAGTGGACTCTGTCCTTCTCCAGAGCCAGCCAGGATCACTCTCTATCCGGCGTAGCCACGTTCCTCCAGCCATGGCCACAGCCGTGCAGGTCACTTGTGGAACTTTATCTCTGAGTACTCAGTGGTGGTGTCCTGCTGCCCCTGTGGACTCTTGGGCTTCATCTCACGAAAGCTGAGGGATGCATAATGTACATCTTCCTCTGCGGCCGAGGATGCTGTCTCAGCTGCGGAAGGCAGGGGTTCAGAACTGTTGTCTGCCTGGGGTTCGACCAGGGGACTCTAAAGAAAGGATAAGAGAGAGTCAGGATAGGATGTCAGGGACCTTTGAGAGCCCTCATCCACTCACCTACAAACATTTTAAGTTTTAAATGACGTGTGTGTGTGTGTGTGTGTGTGTGTGTGTGTGTGTGTGTGTAGGGGTGTGTGTGCATGTGGTGCAGTGCCCACAGAGTCCAGAAGAGGGCATCTGATTCCCTAGAGCGGGAGTTAAAGGAGGCTGTGAGCTGCTGATGTGGGGGCAGGGAACTGAACTTAGGTCTGCTAGAGCAACACATTCTTGTGACTCCTGGGCCCGCTCTCCAGCCTCCCGTGTGCATTTTTGTTGAAATCTTTCATTCCTGCTTTCTCCATGCATGAGCACCCAGTCTTCCTAGTTCCACCAGTAAGATATTATTTTGTCTCAATTTTATATAACTGAAGATGAGATGGAAATAGACAAGCAACTCATACAGACTCCCTGGCAAATCTGGTGCACAGCTGCCCTTCTAGACTCAGGAGACAGAGGCAGGAGATTCACTTCAAGTTCAAGGCCAACCTGAACTATCATAACAGACCATAAAGAGAAACCCAAACCAAAATCTCAGTCAAAACCATAATCCAGTTTTTCTGACCCCAACACCCAGTATTGTGCTAGGATTACATGTGAGATTCTGAGATGGTGCTTGGATAATCCACGGTGGAATGGATGTGCAGTCATAGGACCACGGCCTCTTTTATTTATTTATTGTTGGTTTTTCAAGACAGGGTTTCTCTGTGGCTTTGGAGCCTGTCCTGGAACTAGCTCTGTAGACCAGGCTGGTCTCGAACTCACAGAGATCCGCCTGCCTCTGCCTCCTGAGTACTGGGATTAAAGGCATGCACCACCATCGCCCGGCTATTGTTGGTCTTTTGAGACAGGGTTTCTCTGTAGCTTTGGAGCCTGTCCTGTACTCACTCTGTAGAGCAGACTGGCCTCAAACTCACAGAGATCCTCCTGTCTCTGCCTCCTGAGTACTGGGATTAAAGGCGTGTGCCACCACTGACCAGCAAGACAACGCTTTTAATTAATACATATAACCCAAGGAGTGTCCAAGTTTAACCCTGCCTACATGTACTGTTTTAAAAGTAGTTTTCTTTTATGTGTGTGTGTGTGTGTGTGAGAGAGAGAGAGACAGAGACAGAGAGACAGAGAGAGACAGAGACAGAGACAGAGAACAGGTAAGTGTAGTACCCAAAGATGTCAAAAGAGGGTGTTGGATTCCATGGAGCTAGAGTTACAGACAGATGTGAGCTGCCTGACGTGGGTGCTGAACTTGAACTTGGGTCTTCTGCAGGAGCAGAGAGCACTTTTAAACTCTGAGCTATCTGTCCAGCTCTCTTGCCTACCTTTAAACGTACCCAGGACACTGACAGTCGTTTAGAGCAGGGCAAAATCATTGGACACAAAGTCTATTAATAAAGTGTTGATTAGTGTGGATGGTGTATTGAATAGCCACATTTTTTTAAACAGGTCAGGCAGTGGTGGCACGTGTCTTTAATTACAGTACTGGGAGGCAGAGGCATCTCTATGAGTTTGAAGCCAGCCTGGTCTAAAGAGCGAGTTCCAGGACAGCCAGGGCTGTTGCACAGAGAAACCTTGTCTTGAAAAGAAAAAAAGGAAAAGAAAAACCATGGGCCACACACCTCGTGGTCTTGGGGCCATAGACAGGAACCTGTTGCACCACATGGTGCAGGTAATCAAACACTGCAGCGAATAACCAAAGCTCAGACTTAGAAGTCTGGTTTCCACAAAATGGCTTTTGCTTTGATGTGATGTCAAAGCTAAAAACTTCTAATCTGGGCTGGCAAGATAGCAAGATGGCTGCCAAGCCTGATGGCCTGAGTTCAGTCCCTGGAACCCACATAGTGGAAGGAGAGAACCAACTCCTGAAAGTTGTCCTCTGACTTCCACAATTACACTCTGGCTTGCGTGTGCGCGTGGCTGGGCACACACTCACGCACACAAACACACAATAAATAAACAAATAAAATCTTAAAAAGAAAACTGGAAACATTGTGGGCCTGGAACATTTGCACCTGAACACTCGATCCTTGCCAATCAGAAAATGGTACACATAGAGTTGGAGAAATGACTCTGAGGTTAGGAGAATACACTGCTGTTCCGGAGAGCCAGAGTTCAATTCCCAGCATCCACATCACCTGTAACTCCAGCTCCTGGGGATCTGGCTCCCTCTTCTGTCCTCCGTAGGTACTGCACTCAAGAGTGTGTATTCACACATGTAATTAAACAATAATAGTAATATGGAAGGGAGGGAGGAAGAGGGAAGGAAGGAAGAAAAGGGGTTTGTTTGTCCTTTTGTAACTGCTTTGATTTTTGTTATTTTGCACTCCTCCTTTTTTTGCCCCAGACTGTTTCCTCTAATCTCATCACCCTCAGAAATGGGCACCTCTCTCCTGTTTGCTCAAGGCAAACATCTGAGTCAGCTTCTGACCTCTTTCACTCAGCATCCTCCATCTCCTGCCCACACTTGTTCCCTTCCTTTCGGCTTCATGAGCTACCCACAGCCAGTCCAGATTCCCTCCACATCATCTCCAGTCTCCTTCCTAAGCCTCTGCCTCTGTTCTTCCTTTGTGAAAGGTTTTCCTGCCTGCTGCATCCAGGGGCATCTACAAAAATTAGAGTGTTCCTTCTCCGTGGTGGTTGCAGTTAGGTTGTTCCTTTTTGCTTTTAAAGTGGTTTGCTCAGACTTGATTTACACACTCAACTTCTCCAAACTCACTTCCTGTGGAGGAGGCCCAGCTTCCTTTGTCTCTTCACACAGCTCTGGGGCCGCTTTCTCACTAGCTGGCTGCTCCCATTTCTGAGAATTGGTGCCTGTTCCTCCCTCTACCTGGAATAATCAAATGGCAGAATCCAGTCTCCTTCATCACTAACCAAAACCACAGTCAACCTACAGAAAATATTTAGAAGCCATGCACCAGGCAAGGGACTAAGAATCAGAGTTGATAAAGAATATCTCAACAACAAACAACCCCACTGGAAAAATAGACAAAGACCTCGAATAGACATTTCTCCAGAAAGATATACAGAAAAGAGATATTTATTATTATTATTATTATTATTATTATTATTAGAAAATGTACAGTTAAGCCACAAAGAAATAACACCTCACACTCATCGGGAGATCCACTATTAAATAATACAAAAGAAAACAGAAAATAGCCAGCGTTGATGGAGAAATGGGATCCCCTGTGTACTTGAGATGAAATGTAAAATGGTTAGACCACCGTGGAAAACAGTATGACAAGTTCTCAGAAAATGAAAAGTGGGAGTAATGACCCAACAACACAGGCACACAGCTAAAATAATTGAAGCTGCAGTCTTGGTCTTTCACATTTCTGAGTGTGCGCATCACAAACTGAACACACAGAAGAAACTCAGAAGTTGGCTAAAGAACACGCACACAGTGGAATATTACCAACCCTCTAGAAAGACAAGCAATCTTGTGGTATGCTACCACACGACGGATCCTGAGCACATGTCTTCAGTAAGGAAAAACAGTAAAGGACAAATACAGTGTGGTCCCATATAGCAGGTGTCTGCGGGAGTCAAATTCACAGAGTGAGAGAGAGGAGTGGTGGGGGCCGGGGGCTTGGGAAGTGAAGGCTGGGGAAACAGTGGGAGCTGTCGCTCAGTGTGAACTTTTAGTTTTTCAGTATGAAAAAATCCTAGGCCTCTAATACACAACTGTGTGTGCAAAAAGGTCAACAGCGATGAGTTTTAGGCTACATGCGGTTACCAAAATCTAGAGCACCGATGACAGGACGGGAGGGAGGGAGGGAGGGAGGGAGGGAGAAGATAGATAGGAAACGAACTAGTCATACAGCCTATCGTCCCAGCAATAAATCTCTTACATCATATTCATACATTGGTCTTTGTTGTTTGAGTGGTTTCGTATAACCACCTCTGGCTACAATAAACATGACTGAGCTCAGGGTTCTTTAAGGATCTTGAAAGATGGGTCCCTGGCACCTGTTCGGCTGGCTACTGTGTACAGACACAGCATTTCACTAATAGATGAAGTGATGGGACCTGAACAATGTCTCAGAGACAAAATTCTTGCTGTTGGATCCCTAGAAATGACATGAATGCCAAGTGGGTGTGGTGGCACACCTGTAATCCCAACTTTAGGAAGCTGAGGTAGGGGCTCCCTACAGCAAGCTGTCTAGAGACGAGCCATATCAGCAATCTCTGGGGTTGACTGAGTGGCGTCACCTCAGTGACAAGGTGGAAGAGCCAGTGAGGGTGATTCCTAAGATCGACCTCAAGCTTCCATTTGCACGAGTATCCGCATGCATGCACACTCTCACACACACACAACACACACACGCAACACATACATACACACAACACACACACGGAAAAAGAAAAAAAGACAAGGACACATGGAAGTCTACTACTTAAAGCCCTCTTGCAGAAGCACTAAGAACTTCCCAGAGGTTGACAGAGATAATTCTAAGGACAGAGCATGGAGAGGCAGTATTCACTGAATCTAGGAAAATCTCAAAGGGACATCAAGGCTGGGATATGGCTCAGTCAGTAAAGAGCTTGCTGCATGGTCCTGAGGACCTGAGTTCAATCCCCCCAACCCACTATAAAAGGTCAGAGGTGGTCTGCAGGCATATATCCAGAGCTGGGAGGCAGAGACAGGAGGATCCCTGGGGTGCCCTGCCAGCCAGTTCAGCCTAATCTGCAAGCCACAGGTCTCAGGGATGGCTCTTGAGGAGCAACACTTAAAGTTGACCTTTGAAGCACACACGTACACCACACAGTCTCAGTAACTGATACTTTGGCACCATCTTAATTTGCATCTGAGGCAAGCTTCCCATTTTACCACGTGGGGTTGAGGAGTTTTGGGTCTTTATGTTCTAAACCAGTCAATAAGTCAATTCCAGCCCACTGTTCATTTTTACAAATAAAGTTTCATTAGCGCACAGCCATAGGCATCAGTTACATATGGCTTATGGTGCTTTTCATGTTACAGCAGCAAAGCTGAGCAGCTACAGCATCAGCCCACCCTCCCTAAGCACTTTTGGAGATAATACTATATTCAGTAGGGCCCAGGAACAGTTATTCAAATGCAGAGGAAGTGGATAAAGCTAATAACTTGGTCATGGTAGCAGGCAGAGGAGGCCAAGGGCTAGGGAAGGGGGAAGAGAAAGAGGAAGAGACACACTGAGAGACGGAGAGAGACACTGAGAGATAGAGAGAGACACTGAGACACAGAGAGAGACACTGAGAGACGGAGAGAGACACTGAGAGACAGAGAGACACTGAGAGAGGGAGAGAGACACTGAGAGAGGGAGAGAGACACTGAGAGACAGAGAGAGACACTGGGAGACAGAGAGACACTGAGAGACAGAGAGAGACACTGAGAGAGGGAGAGAGACACTGAGAGAGGGAGAGAGACACTGAGAGAGGGAGAGAGACACTGAGAGACAGAGAGAGACACTGAGAGACAGAGAGACACTGAGAGAGGGAGAGAGACACTGAGAGAGGGAGAGAGACACTGAGAGAGGGAGAGAGACACTGAGAGACAGAGAGAGACACTGAGAGAGGGAGAGAGACACTGAGAGACAGAGAGACACACTGAGAGACAGAGAGACACACTGAGAGACAGAGAGACACTGAGAGACAGAGAGAGACACTGAGAGAGGGAGAGAGACACTGAGAGACAGAGAGAGACACTGAGAGATGGAGAGAGACACTGAGAGAGGGAGAGAGACACTGAGAGAGGGAGAGAGACACTGAGAGACAGAGAGACACTGAGAGACAGAGAGAGACACTGAGAGACAGAGAGACACTGAGAGAGGGAGAGAGACACTGAGAGAGGGAGAGAGACACTGAGAGACAGAGAGAGACACTGAGAGACAGAGAGAGACACTGAGAGACAGAGAGACACTGAGAGACAGAGAGACACTGAGAGACAGAAAGAGACACTGAGAGACAGAGAGACACTGAGAGACAGAGAGAGACACTGAGAGAGGGAGAGAGACACTGAGAGATGGAGAGAGACACTGAGAGACAGAGAGAGACACTGAGAGAGGGAGAGAGACACTGAGAGACAGAGAGAGACACTGAGAGACAGAGAGAGACACTGAGAGAGGGAGAGACAGAAGATGGAAGAGAGGGATATAGAGAGAAGAAGAAAAATAGGGGAAGAGGAGGGGAGAGACAGAGAGAGGAGATAGAGGAAGGGGAGAGGGAGGGAAGGAAGAAGAGGCACCCGACATACACACACACACACACACACACACACACAGAGACAGACAGACAGACAGACAGACACAGAGAGAGACAACAGACAGACAGATGGAGAAATAGAGGAAAAAGAGGGAGAGACAGAAAAAGAGGGGGAAGAAAGAGAAAGAGGGGAAGAGGAGGGAGAGACCCAGAGAAAGTCTAAGAGACAGAGGGAGATGGGGAAGGGAAGATAGAGAGGAAGAGAGAAAAACTAAAAGAGAAAAAAGAGACAAAGGGATAGAGAGAGACAATGGGAGGAACGAGACAAAGGAAGAGAAGAGGAAGAGAGATGGAGAAAGAGAGGGGGAGTGACAAAGAGAGAGAGAGAGAGAACATGTTCTCTCTCTCTCTCTCTCTCTCTCTCTCTCTCTCTCTCTCTGTCATGGCAGGAGCCAAAATGCAGAGGGTCCTGCAGCTTGGTATCTTGATGAGGGAAACCGGATGAGAACCCATGAACTTGAGGTAGAACAGGGGAAAAGGAGAAAGATGAGCCGAGCTCTCCTCTCTTCCTGGTCAGAGAACAAGCAGTGAGGACAAGTCTGCACTGTCGGATTGGGGACGGACTAGAGAGGTCTGCCCGCAGGACACCCAACTTGGGCCACACTCAGTGGAACAACCTGGGATCCATCTCAGGGGTGGTGTTCAGGCAGGAGGATGCTGGTCACTCACCTGAGAAACCGAGCCCTTGAGGGCATTTGGATCGGAAGGTTCTGCAGCTGATCTGGCTGGTCTCCTCCTGCAGGATCTCACCCTGGGGGCATGGACAGCAGGGAACCTCTCAGTGTGGGCAGGAGGAGGCGCAGCTGGCATTCTCCCCCACACTCTACTTGCAATTAAGCCACCGGTCAAGGTGGCCAGTGGTCCTGTTACAGAGGTTCCTGTGTTGAAAGATGGCTCCCACCATCTGGGACAGTGGGGCCTGAGGTTTGCAAGACTCCCGAGTTCCCCACACAGACCACATGCCTAAACCACGCTCCCCCTGACCTCAGGCTCCCCACCTGCCCAGGTCCCCCTCTGGGCCTGGGCTCAGGGTCAGGTACCAGGTTTTTCCCTTGTCACCCCAGGTTCCCTGTCCCCACTGACACTGATACTCACGCCAGGAGGAAGATGCCACAAAGCAGGAAGAGGAGGACTGTGGCTCCAGCACCCACAAAGGCCCCCATTGTCACTTCAGATAAAGTTGTACCGCCTGGAGATAGAAAACCCTAAGAGACCTCCCCTCTTCTCCTACCTCCCCTAGCCCCTGCAGGAAGCCAGACCTCCTGTTTTTCTCACCCCTAGTTCAGATGCCAGAACCTGACTGGAAGGGACAGATGGAAGGACCAGAGATGGCAAAGGGGACATTAAAAAGGCTAGGCAGCAGTTTGTCTTGATTTAGTTTGGTATCTTGTTCAGCATAGGACTATTTTGCATTTTTATTGGCTCATTAAATGTCTCTCCATATACGTTTGTACCTGGGTTTCAACCCCACTTTCACAAACAGGTAAAGGAATATTTCATCACAGTCAGATGTGTGAAGAATGTCTGTCATTTCAGCTATCTCTGAGGCGAAGCCAGGAGGACCTCAAGTTCAGGGGTGTTTGGGTTAGAGACTGAGTTCAGTGACTGCCTGGGCAACTTGATGAAACCCTATCTCAAAATAAAAATTAAAGAGGGCTGGAGATACAGGTCAGCTGCTCAATGACTGCCTAGAACCCCTCAGTGAGGGACCAGGATTGGGGTTCAATGGTAGAGCCCTGCCTAGAATCCCCCAGTGAGGGACCGGCAGTGTGGCTCAGTGGTAGAGCCCTGACTAGAACCCCCCAGTGAGGGACCAGCAGTGTGGCTCAATGGTAGAGCCCTGCCTAGAATCCCCCAGTGAGGGACTGGCAGTGTGGCTCAATGGTAGAGCCCTGCCTAGAATCCCCCAGTGAGGGGCTGGACCTCTACAGGTTGACTACTGAGTTGTTTCACATTTGTTTTATTCTGCTTTGTTTAGGTTCAGTTTTTCTCTTGAATTTTATACTCTTGGCAAATGCCCCTTCCTCCTGGCCTACAGAAGCAAGGACCTTGTGTGCACAGCTCATCCATCTAAGTCCCAGCCCCTCTCCTCAGGATTTGCTGCGTCCTGGTGTGACTCCCCTCCCTGACCCACACACCCTCCCTGTCGCAGGAATAAGATAGTGAGACCCTAAATCTTTACAGTCTTCACAGCTCAGCACAACCTGGAGCTCAGCTCCCCTGTGAAGCTAAGGGGACTCATGGGAAGATGCAAGCATGGGCCTGGCGTTGACCTCCTCCTGCCACCTCCCTCTGGCCCCCGGGTCACTCACGCTGTAGATACAGGCTCAGGGAAAAGTGCTGGGAGCCCAGGGCGTGCTGAGCTTGGCAGGTGTACACTCCTTCATGCTTAAGATGTACGGGAAACAGCTCCAGGAGCCCAGGTTTGGACAGCTTCGAGGGGCACAGACTCAGGTTATCCAAGGTCCAGCTCAGGTTTGCAGGGGGATAGCTGTCGGTGCTACAGAGGAGGCGTAGAGACTGGCCCTCAGAGACAGGAAGAGATGAGCCGTTCTCTGGGGTTATGGATTCTGTAGAGAAAGGGACAGAGCCAGTGTGATGAGATTAAGAGAAGGAACCCTAGAGTCCAGAAAGGGGGACTGACACACTGATAGGGAGGAAAGAACAGGAAAACACAAACTTTTTCTAGCACCACAGCAAGAATCTAAGCTTGTTTTATTTCAGGGTGAGCTGCCTCAAAACTGGAGAGAACATGTGATCCAGGCATATATTTGGAACTGATGATGAGAGAGTCAGACAAATGTGTGTGGGGGAGAATGAGAGAGAGAGAGAGAGAGAGAGAGAGAGAGAGAGAGAGAGAGAGAGGGAATATTGAAGGCAGGGTCTCAAGTAGCCCAGACTAGCTCCAAACTCACGATGCAGCAGGAATGCCCTTGAATGGCCACCATCCCAGCTTATGTGGTCCTGCGGATGGAACCCAGCCAGGGTTTGGGCTTGCTAGACACGTGTTTTTTCATCAGTTGAGCCACATTCCCTGCTTTTAGTTTATTATTCAGACACACACTGTGGTCATAGACACAAGACCCATTCACTGTTCATTGCTGGTGGCAGAATGAACGCCCTGCCCTTACTACACATTGATATTAGAAACCCACAGGACTGGATCCGTCTGTGCTGGGTACTGCAGTCATGGAGACCAAAGATCATCTCTGCTATTGACATCTTGTTCCTCTCAGAACCTCAGGGGGACAAGGCCAGGCTCGGCCAGCCGATGTGGACAGGACACAGATCACCTGCAGTTTGGAGACTGAGCGTCTGAGAACAGAGTGTGTGTTCTCAGGGTCTAACCATGTAGCTGTGTCTCTGCACAAGAACCCAGAGCACAGCTTTGGGGGCACACAGGCAGATCCATAAATGGGGAGAATGTCCTGGATGGGGTGGTTCTGCTGTGTGCATGTTACCCTGTGCCTGTGGTGGTCAAGGGGCATGTGCAGATCTGGGGGAGCGGGAGGTGGACACTGAGTAGTCCCTTCAGAGAGGATGGTCCAGTGGTTCCTCAACAAGGAGCTCCAACTCCAGGTGAGCTCAGGATGCGGAAGAATAACCCCTGTCTGAACTCAAGAGGTGCTGTATCGTCTACCCAGGAAAACTCCTACCTGAGTCAGCTCCTTGAGAGATGGTCACAGTCAGATTCATTGGAGCATCTAAGAGAGAATGACAGAGTGGACTCATCAATCACCATCCACCCCAGCAGCTGTCTAGGTGGGTATGGCGGGGGCCCATCATCCTGACACACCCCCTTATCAGGATTTTAGGGCCCAGTATCCAGACCCTGACTCCAACCTGGGGACCTTAGAAAAATAGGCAGGCCACCCAGCCCAGCCTCACATAACACGTTGAGATGGATGGTCGTTCTTGTGGTCACACCAGTTCCAGGCAGGGTCACCTGGCAAGTGAGGTTGGTGCCATGGTCCCGAGGCTGAGGGGTGACAGTCAGCACTGCGGAACCAGTGGTGTTGGTGCTCAAGAGTGACACAGAGGAACCAGTCCAGGAGAAGGTGGGGGACCCACAGGCCCAAGGCGCAGAACAGGTCAGGTTGCTGGGACGGCCAGCCTCCAGGGTCTCCGGGATAAGGATGTTGGGGGCGTAAGTGAGGTCTGGTGAGGAGAGGGGAGAAATGGAGGATCAGGATGGGGTGAGGCGCAGCTTCAGGGGAAGCCCTGGCTCTGATTGAGCTTCTTCCGTGAACCCTGATGCTCAGACCCAGCTGCTCCCAGGAGGGAGTCCTACCCCAGACCTGCCCTGTGGCGCCCATGGCTTTCCCTGGTGGCTTCTCTGCAAGCCCCACCTGACCTGTCACTTGCAGAGTCATCATGTTCTGCTTATAATTAAACCTCGCTTTTCCTCTCTCCAGGCGAAAGAAGTATGACCTCGCATCGTCCTTGCTGGTCTCTCTGATGTACAGGGAACAGCTGTTCTGCCGTGGTTCTCCGAACAGGAAGAATCGGTCCTGGGTCGTATTCAGTGCTGGCCGCCCTGGGTTATTTGTGGCCACTGGAGGATCCTGATCTGTATTGGCTCCCTCCAGAAACCAGTATCCATGAACTGGGTCTGAGTCAGTCCATTTCTCTTTGGGGTAGGTGAACTTACAGGGTACCTGGATACACAGGCCCTCTTGCACCACCACGGTCTTTTCCACATCCAGGCTATAACCCTTTGTGGCCTTAGGCCCACCCTCTACCTCCTTCATCCCCCAGAGCAGCAGCAGCAACAGCGGCAGCATGTCAAGCTGAAGCTGCAGGGCCACCACAAGTCTGACTCTCCGGGCTCTTCTCTGAGGAACTAAGAGATGCAGGACCTGGAGGAAGCCCCACCCGAAGCAGGGGTGAGTCCAGGACAGTGCCTGCCTTGGGAGGAGGAGCTTCAGACCCAGGCACTGCCAGGGCCCTTGGGCCATGAAGATCAGCTACACACCACCCAGATCTACTGCTGAGGCCGAAGAAAGCAACTGCCTCTTTCAAATTCACCCATTCAGGGCCTGATCCTGTGTTCTTTCTCTCTGTACTAACCTTGGCCACTGCGTAACATTTTCTACCCAGTGAAAACGAATTTGCTTCATCCAGAGCCCCCAGAGCCTCCCCTGAGGCTGATGATACTGGTGGAGTTGGGGATGAATCTAGGGCATAGGGGAGAAGAGGGACTGGGAGATGCAGACTGGGGAGCAACCAGCCTCTCCTCTCTCCCTTAGCAGTTTGTCATGGGCACACCCTCTGTACAGCCTTCTGAGCTATGTTCCCAAAGCACCACTGTCCAGTGGGAGACGGATCCCAGGTCCCTGGAGCATCAGTGGAGGAGCCATAGACTGAGTGGACAACAGCTCGGAAGGGGTAGATGTGAGCATTCTTCCTTCGGAAACCCACCAAGGGCTCTGGAGACGCAGCTCTCTCTTGTGGAGTGTCTGCTCCATATGCGCAGGTGAGCATTCTACCTACGGAAACCGCCAAGGGCTCTGGAGACGCAGCTGTCTCATGGAGTGTCTGCTTCACATGCGCAGAGCGCTAGGCTCCACTTCCAGCACCATACAAATTGTGTGTGGTAGAATGTGCCTGCAGTCCCAGCATTTAGGAGTCGGAGGCAGGAGAATCAGGACTCCGAGGCCAAACCTGGCTACATAGTAAATTTCAGCCCAGCCTTGATTTCAGCAGACCCTGTCTCAAAACATACAAACCAAACCAAGACAAACACAAAAAAGCAAAAATCAAGGCCACAGGTAGAGTCTCACTCACAAGAGACCTGGGAAATGGAGGTTGCAGCAGTGTACAATGGGACTTGGTAGAGAAGATGGTGAAATGGAAATCCAACATAGCCAATCTAGCAGGAGAGAAGATATTTTAGAGAGCGATGTTTGTGCTCTCCATTTGGCTATCAGACTTTTTTGGAGCAAAGAGCCCGCAAAGAATTAGTATTTCCACAGATTCAATGCAATGCCCATCAAAATCCCAGCAAAAATTCTTCAAAGACCTCGGGTACTCGACTTCACATGGAAAAGCAAAAAACCCAAGATAGCTAAAACAATCCTGTACAATAAAAGAACTTCTGGAGGCATCACAATCCCTGACTTCAAACTCTACTACAGAGCTACAGTACTGAAAACAGCCTAGTATTGGCATAAGAACAGACAGGAGGACCAATGGAACCAAATTGAAGACCAGGAGGAACCAAATAGAAGATCCACACATCTTCGAACATCTAATCTTTGACAAGGAAGCCAAAAATATCAAATGGAAAAAAAGAAAGCATATTTAACAAGTGGTGCTGGCATAACTGGATATCAACATGTAGAAAAATGAAAATAGACCCGTATGTATCACCATGCACAAAACTCAAGTCCAAATGGATCAAAGACTTCAACATAAAGCCAGCCACACTAAACCTGATAGAAGAGAAAGTGGGAAATACACTTGAATGCATTGGCACAGGGAATCACTTGCTAAATATAACCCCAGCAGCACAGACACTGAGAGAAACAATTAATAAATGGGACCTCCTGAAACTGAAAAGCTTCTGTAAAGCAAAGGACATGATCAGCAAGACAAAACGACAGCCTACAGCCTACAGAATGGGAAAAGATCTTCACTTACCCCACATCAGACAGAGGTCTGATCTCCAAAATATACAAAGAGCTCAAGAAATTAGACACCAAAAGAACACATAATCCAAAAAAAAAAAAAAAAAAACGGAGTAAAGACCTAAACAGAGAACTCTCAACAGAGGAATCTAAAGTGGCTGAAAGACACTTAAGGAAATGTTCAACATCCTTAGTCATCAGAGAAATGCAAATCAAAACAACTCTGAGATTCCATCTTACACCTGAAAGAATGGCCAAGATCAAACACACTGATGACAACTTATGCTGGAGAGGTTGTGGGGAAAAGGGAGCACTTCTGCATTGCTGGTGGGAATGCAAGATGGTATAACCCCTTTGGATGTCAGTGTGGCAATTTCTCAGAAAATTAGGAAACAACCTTCCTCAAGACCCAGTAATACCTCTTTTGGATATATATATATATATATATATATATATATATATATATATATATCCAAAGATGCTCAATTGTGCCACAAGGACATGTGCTCAACTGTGTTCATAGCAGCATTGTTTGTCATAGCCAGAACCTGGAAACAACCTAAATGCCCCTTGACTGAAGAATGGCTAAGGAAAATGTGGTACATTTACACAATGGAGTACTACACAGCAGAAAAAATAACAACATCTTGAATTTTGCATGAAAATGGATGGAGCTAGAAAACATTATTTTGAGTGATGTAACCCAGACACAGAAAGACAATTATCACATGTACCCACACATAGGTGTTTTTTAAACATAAAACATAGAAAGTCACTCTACAAACCACAATCCCAGAGAACTTAGATAACAATGCGGACACTGAGACTTACATAGATCTAATATACATGGAAAGTAGAAAGTAGAAAAAGACAAGATCTCCTGAGTAAATTGGGAGCATGGGGACCTTGGTGGAGAGTTGAAGTGGGGAGGAGAGAGGTAGGGAGGGGAGCAGAGAAAAATGTAGAGCTCAATAAAAAAAAAAAGAGAGAGAGAGAGAATTAATGTTTCCAAAGGGCGCCCATGTTGGGGTAACAGAAAAGCTAAAGTCCAGATGACACCTACAGGATGAACTCACCACCCAGAAGATCCTCAGTTTTGACAACTTATTGGAACACCTTGTGGGCCAAACAAGGATGTACCAACGATAGGCTAAGCACCACACCTCAACCAGGACTGCTTACTCATATACACCTCTTGCTTTCTAATTACACTAAACTTCTTATCAGCACCTTGAAGATGACTTGAGGGTCACTGAGCCTCTTTGTTTCTCTTCCCAGTGTAACCAAGTTATATTAAATCTCCCTCTTTTGTATGTCTTTATTTGGTATATGGAGCGTATGTGTGGCTAAGCCTAGTCTGGTAGAGCTGTTAGTGCTCAAACTATGATAACATAGATATTTGGAAAAGGTAAAATTCCCTTCCTTGTTCCAGGATGGTTCTCTTGTTGGAGCTGGGATTCAGGGTCACTCACATTAGGCAGATGCTCTACCCCTAAGCCACGCCCCAGCCCCTCACTGGGGTATCCTAGGCAGGGCTCTACCACTGAGCCACACTCAGCCCCTCACTGGGAGACTCTAGGCAGGGACTCTACCCCTGAGCCACACCCCAGCCCCTCATTGGGGGATTCTAGGCAGGGGCTCCACCACTGAGCTGCACACACCAGCCCCTCACTGGGGGATTCTAGGCACAAACTCTACCCCTGAGCCACACACCAGCCTCTCACTGAGGTATGCCAGACAGGTTCTCTACTGCTGAGTCGTGGCCACAGCCCACCATTACATATTTCTTCCTTGCTATTGTCTCTTACTGTCCCCTTGCTCCAGATGACTACCTGTTTGCTCAGGGTCCCTACCATGGGTTCATACGAACAGGGATGGCCAGAAATTCCTAGAAGACTGTGTTGAACTTGTGGTGGGAGGTAGGAGGAAGTGGAAATAATCCTAAGAGGTTGAGCCTCCTCAACTTGTATCAGTCTTCCTTGAAATATCTGAGATGGGGGAATATATATAGTATATATATATACTAACTATATATATATATATATATTCCAGAAAACTGACCCAGAGTGAAGAAAAATCAAAACCTCAGGTGTTTCAACTGTCACCTAAAAAGGGATTATAAATAGAGCATTCCTAGAAACAATGCTTTTTTTTCTAGGAATAATCCAAACAGAATGCCCCTCCCTACTGGAGTATGCAAATATGTCAAAGGCAGACATTGGATAAATGAATGCAGATCAACAGGGACAGGCAGGGTAACCCTTTACAGTCAGGAAACACACTGGGGAGTCTCTCACAGGCCCCCATGTCAAATTGGTTCAGTCATTCTCTGTGACCATGGGAAAACACTCCTTCCCAGAGCAGTTAAAAGTCCCAATGCCTATTGTAAAGAAGCATACTACTCTGGAAGATAGAATAGCTTTAAAAGATAAAACAAAAATTTTAGGAAAAACCATAAAGCAATATTATAAAGATTAGATTTGAACAAGAGAGACCTCTTAGTTAGAAGAGACCATAGTTCATCAACTAGAGTGATCATTCAATCTAAACTAACTTATAAAGCTGACGTTTCATTTGATCAGAAAGTGACTTTAGAACTTTGCCAAGACAAAGTGAGACAGTCCTTCAAAAAAATCCTGCTTCATAGAAACGTTTGTCAGATATTTTAGGCTTATAGACCAAAGTTGGGTGCCCCAATGTTGCAGAGGAACCTTGGGTGACTGCCCAGGTAGCCAGCTTTTTCTGTCATTTCTCACATTTTTGGAAGTCACTTATTTTTGGAAGTACTTCCTATTTACTCAAGTAATAGTATAATAATAATAATATATCCTTCTCAGGTCTCTGATGAAGTTTAAGACTGGATAGTTATAGTTTTTCTTGTTAACAAATTCAGAAAATACATTCACAAAAGAGGTGTAAAGTGTATAGGGATGAGAGACATCAAAAGATAGCCTGGGATTGGTAGTGAAAATTAGGATAGAAAGTGAATTAGGTACAACACTTTGGACTCACCAAGATAGGATAGATAATGGAGTACTTTCTTTGAATTTCTCAAATGCTAATAAGTTAGATATTGTTTATTATTATTTATTGCCTGCATATATTTGTATATAGTTATTGTCCATACTGTACAATAACATGGTTTTTCCATGTTA